AACAAGTTCCCAAATACCCGAAATTAGTCAACCATTGCCTACTTAGAGCAAGGCTACTGCTCTAGAATAATGATCAGTAATCCTGTGAGGTTAAAAAAAAAAATAAAAAAAACAAGGGCTCCTCACACGGTGGCTGCACATTCAGTCCTGTGACTGGCACGTTAATGTCTGTTTAAAGGAAATGCTAATCCAAACTGACGCTTGACAATACTCTTCTCTCCTAATAAGGCCATACTAGAAGGGGAAAAAAATAGGAAGAGAATCTGGTAACAGGACTCCCAGAAATGAGAGGGATGGAAAGGAAGAGGGGGTTACACAAAATAAACAGGAAAAACACTGAGTAGGGGGTACAATAGGTTCACAGAGTTCCAAGCAAGTCTTGATCAGGAGATATTGCTGTTAGTAGCTATGGGGCCCTGAAATATTGATTAACCCCAGTCCTCTAACAGTGAATGAATGCATTGTGTGACAATCTAGCACTAAGGACATGTGCCAAAGAGGGCTTGGAACACTATAAAGTTCTCACAAGGCTTTCTGCCCGACATGTTTTTGTTGCCATGGCCTAAAGGAAAGACATGTATCTACCATCACACATACACACACACTCCAAAGTGACAAGGTAACCTAACTGACCTGACATGAAGAATTACAGAAATAGGGGCTGGGAAGGTGGCTCAGTGGTAGAGCGCTTGCCTTGCATGCATGAGGCCCTGGGTTCGATTCCTCAGCACCACATAAGCAAAAAAAAGAAAAAAGAAAAAAAAAAAAGAATTACAGAAATAGAGCCAGGAACCTGTGGTTAATGCCTTGTATTCCTAGCTCGTCAAGAGCCTGAGACCTGAGGATGGCAGTTTGAAGCCAGCTAGGAAGTCCATTAGCCAGCAATAAACTAGAAGCAGAGGTATGGCTCAAGTAATAGAGTGACCAGCCTTCAGAAAAGAAAAAAAAAGCACCCCCAACCCTACACACACACACACACACAGAAGCATAGTGGATCACACCTGCGATCCCCACTACTCAGGAAGTTGAGATCAGGAGGATCATGGTTCCAGGCTATCCTGGGCAGAAAATTCATGAAGTCTGATCTCAGCAGAAAAAAATTGGATGATAGTACGTGTCTGTGACCCAGACATAGTGGGAAGCGTAGGAGATTAACAGTCCAGACTGTCCCAGGTAAAAAGCAAGGGCTAATCTTAAAAATATCAAGAGCAGCCGAGTGCCAGTGATTTGCACCTGTAATCCTATTTGCTCAGGAGGCTGAGATAGGAGGATCTCAATTCAAAACCAGCTCAAGAGGTAAAGTCCATAAGACTTATCTCGCCGGGGGCGCCGGTGGCTCACACCTGTAATCTTAGCTATTCAGGAGGCTGAGATCTGAGAATCTCGGTTCAAAGCCAGCCCAGGCAGGAAAGACCGTGAGACTCCTATCTCCAATAAACCACTAGAAAACCGGAAGTGGCGCTGTGGCTCAAGTGGTAGAGCGTTCGCCTTGAGCTGAAGAGCTGAGGGACAGCGCTCAGGCCCAGAGTTCAAGCCCCATGACCGACAAAAAAAAAAAAAAAAAAAAAGACTTATCTCCAACTAACCACCAAAAAGCCAGAAGTGAAGTTTGTGCCTAAAGTAGAGCACTAGGTTTGAGCAAAAAGGGCTAAGGAGTAGCACCCAGGCCCCGAGTTCAAGCCCTCGCACCAGCAAAAAAATAAAAATAAGAGCAAACAAGTGGTAGAGTGTTGCCTGTTTTGCGAGTGCACAGCCCTGAGTTCTGTCCCCAGAGCCACGAAAATAAGTAAATAAAATAAGAGCAAAAAGAACTGGAGAAGTGTCTTGAATGGCAGAAATTCTAGGATGCAAAGAAGCTATGATTAAAATATGGCCAGAAGACAAGTCACTGCCAGACTTGCTTCCATCACTAGACTTAACATGAGTTAGTCCGCTAAGAAGACAAAAGGCAACAAGCCAGGTTCTGACCAAACATGACAGAATGAAATTTGGAAGGAGAGAACACAAAAGCAGAACATGGAACAAGACAGTGCATGAGGACAAGGCCCCCTAAAACATCAAGGGGTATGGTAGGTAGGACCCAGAGTCTGGGGAGCAAGGATGCAACAGGAGCCCCAAGCTACTCTGCAGTGGTAGCAACTTGTAATGGTGCTGGTGTTTACAAAGCCCTTCACTTAGTGATTCCTTGTTGGGTCTGAACAACAATGAAAACTGGACAGAAGCTTAGCGCCAATAGCTCATGCCTGTAATCATAGCTAGTCAGGAGGCTGAGATCTGAGGATAGCAGTTTAAAGCCAGCCTTGGCAGGAAAGTCCATGAAACTCATCTCCAATTAACCACCAGAAAACTGGAAGTGGTGCTGTGGCTCAAGTGGTAGAGCACTCGCCTTGAGCTAAAGAGTGCAAGGACAGCTCCCAGGCCCAGAGTTCAAGCCCCATGGCCCACCAATAAAACAAAAACAACAACAACACACACAAAAAAAAACAGCAGAACATACAGGCCAGTTTCAGGACAAGGATGTTGAACTAAAGCCCAGATGACTGGGGGACTAAGAGGCTAACTGTGCCATGCCTGATACAGCTCTTTCTATGCTTTGATGGTTAAATCCAAATTTGGATGAGATTGATTAGCTTTAGAACTGATTCCTCTGTGCCTCAGTTTCTCTTCTGTAAAAGAGCTCCTGAGGAAATGCACAGGAAAACCTTAGCATAGTGCCTGGCTTACAGAAAAAAAGACAGCAAACAGCTGCCACCCAAGATTTGAAGCACCTTCCAGAATCCTGGGTGCTCTATTTTACCAACAGTTATACACTTACTTCAGCCCTGTATCCATGGAACTCAACACTGGCAGAGTGACGAGGAGCCATAATAAATGTGTCCACCCATGCAAAATTCCTCTCTCATATGCCTCAGATCTCATTTCTGTGAGAAGATGACTTAAAAACTTATTTCACAGCTTCTTGTATAGTGTCATTTTGTGTGTATATGCCAGTCCTGGGGCTTGAACTCAAGGCCTGGGTGCTGTCCCTGAGATTTGTACTCAAGATTAGTACTCTGCCACTTTGGCCATAGCTCCACTTCCACTTTTTTGTGTTTAATTGGAGATTAAAAAAAAAAAAATCTCACAAACTTTCCTGCCTAGGCTGGCTTTAATCTCAGCCTCCTGAATAGCTAGAATTGCAGGTGTGAGCCACCAATGACTGACTGTAATTTCTTTTTGAAAACCCTGTCCCCTTCTGGGAAGACTGGAACCCATAGAAAAGAAATTGTTCTCTTTAGCTGGTCCTTAGACAGTAGTCTGGAATGCTGGTTATTTGTGAGAACCATCTAGGACCCCCACTCTAGCCCATCCTCATCCAGACAGAACAATCTGAGATGGAGTCTGATAGTGAATGGCTGGCTTAAAACCCACCACCATCCTTGTAGGGCCACATTATTCCTACCTGGGAACTGAGTAGAAACAAGCTGCTTCTCCACCATGCATGCACCATCCCTAGTGGAGAGGGGGACAGAGGCTGTTTTCCCTCCTAAACCCATGTCCTGGTCCATGGTCCTCACAATGAAGAAAGTTCTAGAAGCCAATTTGTGTGTGTGCACGTGTGTGCGTGCAATGGAGAGAAACAGCGACAGAGACAGAGAGAGACACAGAGAGAGAGACAGAGACACAGAGACAGACAGAGAAACAGAGAGAGAGCATGCACCAGTCCTGGGCTTTGAATTCAGGGCCTAAGCACTGTCCTTGAGCATTTTGCTCAAGGTTATCACTCTACCATTTGAACCACAGCTCCACTTCCAGCTTTTAGGAGGTTAACTGGGGATTAAGAGTCTCACAAACTTTCCTTCCCAAGGCTGGCTTCAAACCATGATCCTCAGATTGCAGTCTCCTGAGTAGCTACGATTACAGGCATGAACCACTGGCCCCTGGCTCTCTAGATTTTAAAGATGGTATAGCTTATGGTTCACTAACCTCAACCCTGGAAAGTCAAACCTCTTTAGGTGTTTAGGTTTTCATACAGGGCTGGGTTCAGAGCAGCTGTAAGCTCTGTGGAGTGCAAATCACTAACAAAACACAGGCAGGATCCAAGTGCAGATTTCTCTGCCTCTGTGACCCCAGGCTCACATTCTTAGCACATTTTTTATTGTTATTATAAAGGAGATGTACATAGAGGTTACAGTTACATATGTCAGGTAATGAGTACATTTCCATTTGGACATTATCACCCTTTCCCTCACTCTCTACCAGTTTTTCCCTCCCATTTCCACCCCTAAGTTGTATATTTCATTTTCAACATAATGTCTAGTGAGTATTACTGCTGCCTTTGTTCATCCTTTGTCCCTCCATTTCTGTGTCTTACCACATTTTTAATGTACCACCTAAAAAGCAAAACCCATCTTCCTACACACATAATGATTTTTTTTGAGGTAGTTTTACTGTTGGTTTGAGTTTTTTTTTAATTGTGAAAATACTGTACAGAGTAGTTACAATTACATGGGCAAGATAATGAGTACATTTCTTTTTTTTTATTTAATTTAATTTTTTTTTTTGCACACATAATGATTTTATAAGGCAGCTAAATCTCACCCAAAGGGCTAGGAAGGTGGCTCAGTGGTAGAATGCTTGCCTTGCATGCATGAGACCCTGGGTTCGATTCCCCAGCACCACATAAGTAGAAAAAGCCGGAAGTGGTCTGTGGCTCAAGTGGTAGGGTGCTAGCCCTGAGCTGAAGAGCTGGGGGACAGCGTCCAGGCCCAGAGTTCAAGCTCCACAACCAGCCAAAAAAAAGAAAAGAAATCTCAACAAAAACAAAATGGAAAAGAAATTTTCTGATCTGGTGTTTTACCTAAGTATGCCACACCCAAGATGGCACACCAGAGACTATCATGAAACACTGTGAAGAAATAGTAGGGATTTTTATAAAGAGCTGTTCTCAGGAAACAGCTGTACTAACTTCCCATAAACCTTTACCCACCAAGCAATGTCTGTAAATGGAAACATCATACCTGATTAGATCTGGCTCTGCACCCTCATTCTTAAAGGAAGCCAGAAGTAGTCTCTCTCGAGTTACAAGGTCATCCAGGAGGTTCTGTCTTCGATCCCCTTCCAGCTGTGTGCTGCAAACATTTAGTTAAGGTCTAATAGCGTATGAATTACCTCATTTTACCTAGTGTATGATTAAGTTTACTCATTAGCCACTTGCAGCTCTTATAGATTCTCTAGTCACCACTATCTGGAACAGAACTATACTCTAGCTTTTTCTGCCCTGACCTTCAACTTGATATTCCAGATAAATGACCTGCCATTGCAAAGGCAGGTATAATCAATGATATAGATCATAAGTTACTACACTGAGAAATACAGTAGGGATTATTTTCTTCCCAGTTAATGGGGCAGTCTGGACCAGGGGTTCCTTGAGTTACAGGAGTTAGTATTCAAGAGTTACTTCCTTACCCACAACTACCCTAAGATAGGGCCCAGGACTTGGCTTGCCTGGCATGCATGAGGCTTTCTAAATTGTCTGTTTTCTTCCTGTGAATACCCATTTACAGATATGAATATAATTTGCAAAAGTGCTACTTTATGCAACATCTTCTGTAAAAATAGTTATCATTGGCTTTTGGTGTTTTTTTTTTTCCAGTCGTGGGGCTTGAACTCTGGGCCTAGGCACTGTCCTCGGCTCTTCAGCTCAAGGCGAGTGCTCTACCACTAGAGCCACAGCACCACTTCCGGTTTTCTGAGTGGTTTATTGGAGATAAAAAGTCTCGTGGACTTTCCTGCCTGGGCTGGCTTTGAATCATGATCCTCAGATCTCAGCCTCCTGAGTAGCTAGTATTATAGGTGTGAGCCACCAGCGCCCAGCTGGTTCATTAGCTTTAAGGAAAATGGTCAAGCAGTGATCATTTAATGTAATAATCTAATAAGTGTGCTAGACTAGGAGTCCCACTTTCTTTACCACTCCCTTCACCACTTGGGGGCTGTTTCTTTATATGTGACATCAAATCACGTGCTACACCTTTTCCAAAACAACTCATAAATGGTTAACAACATATAAATTAGAACTTAATTCAAAGGTTCATGGTTGTCTTTCGGTGCAGGAGACTGAGCTCAAGGCCGTGTGCTCCCACACTGAGCACCACCTCACCCTCTCAACCTGAAACCCAGTTTTATAGACATGCTTTCTTGAAGCAAACTATACAAGTTCTTCTAGACTGAATATGGGGTATATGCATTTAAAAGGATAAAGTCAAGGAAATGTTAAAGAAAACCTGATATAAGGTAAAGAGTAGAGAAAGCTAGGAACTCTTTTGAAAGGATATTTAAACCAGACCCAAAAAGCACAAAAATAAGCCATTCAACTCAAATTCCATCTAGTTTTTTTTCTTAATCAAATGAACTTTTCTTAGCTCTGAAAGGCTGGTGATTCCAAGTAGCCATGGCCACAAGTACCTAGTCCTACTTACAACAGCAAGGTAGCCACAAGAGGGTTGATTTAGCAAATTAAGAATGGCAAATAAAAAGAAGGCAAAGGATCTAACAGAGCACAGAGTGTTTTAATCAATGAAAAGACAAGTAGTCACACCACATTCACCTATCCCATTACAAATGGGAGAAGGCACTTGAGGTGAATGCCAGCCCTCTCCCACATAAATGCTGAAGATGCAGACAGGTGTACCAAGCTGCCAAGCTACCCTTGATGTAGCTAAGAGCTCTAACAAGCATATTGCTTCACCAGGTATCTCTCCTGCAGCCACACTCACATCCATATAGGCCTTTGAAGCAAAGATGTTTGCCATAGCAATGCTGACAATGGCCAGACTCTGGAAACATCCCAAATGTCATCAATAAGGAACTAGTGTGTCTATGCAGTGAAATACTTTGTAGCATCCAGATAATGATGTCCACCACTGCGTGGATTTGTGCATCTGTGATAGCTGGGCAGAGTAGAATGTGGACAAGATGTACCTGGTGGTAGTAAGGTAAATGGCTGGTGCTAGGCATCTCCTCCCCCACACCAAGCAAATAATCAAAGGCCAGAGAATAGACAAATAAGGAAAATTTGTAACTGGTATAGTATGTTGTCATTTGGGTAAGCTACCTTAACATGTAATCCTAGCCAATTCATGGAAATGTCAAGTAGTATATGACACGAGATCCTGATTTCCTATTTCCCAATCCTAATACTGGGCTGATTGGATCCACCTTTTCCACTGTAACCTTGTCAGCACTTTAAACTACTGGGATTCTTTGTGCCAACAAAAATGCAGAAAGAGTGGAGTCAGAAATAACTTTTAGATTCTTTGAAAAACGGCAAATGCAGATCCATCTCAGCTCTGAGTTCCATCCTTAGTAAGGTTAAGAATTGAGATTGTCTTATTTTGTGAATGAACTGTTCTGGAGAAGGCCTGTCCATACTACAGCACAGAGCTTCCAGTATCAGCAAACTCCATTAAATGTCTACTATGTACTAGGCAAAGTCCACATCTTCCTCCAAGTGCCCATCACATTTTGTAAGTACCTTTTGTTTTTGCCTGTCATGGGGCTTGAACTCAGTGCTTGCCCCTGAGCTCTTTCACTCAAGGTTAACACTCTACCACTTGAGCCACAGCACCATCTCTGGTTTTCTGGTAGTTAACTGGAGATAAAAGTCTCACCGACTTTTCTGCCCAGGCTAGCTTTGAATTGAGATCCTCAGATCTCAGCTTGAATAGTTTGGATTACAGGCATGAGCCTCGGGTGTCTGGCTTACAAATACCTTCTTAATCCCATTACTTGTATGCTTAATAGAAACACCTTACTTGATTTTAAGTTCCTTCATGGGAGGACTACAATGAGTTCTCAATGGTGATAGCAATTCCTACAATAGTGATACAATAAAGAACAGCCATAGGCTGGGAAGGTGGCTCAGTGGTAGAGCGCTTGCCTTGCATGCCTGAGGCCCTGGGTTCGATTCCTCAGCACCACATAAGCAAAAAGAAAAAAGCTGGAAGTGGCGCTGTGGTTCAAGTGGTAGAGTGCTAGCCTTGAGCTGAAGAGCTGAGGGACAGTGCCCAGGCCCAGAGTTCAGGCCCCACGACCAGACCCAAAAAAAAAAAAAAAAAAAAGAACAGCCAGGTGATGGTGGCTCATGCTTATAACTCTACTCAGAGGCTGAGATCTAGGGATCTTGGTTCGATTACAGTAAGACTCTTATCTCCAATTAAATAGCAACAAGATGGAAGTGACAATTAAATAGCAACAAGATGGAAGTGAAGCCGTGGCTTAAGTGGTAGATTGCCTGCCTAGCTAGAAGGTCAAGCTCAAGTCTCATACTGCCTTCCTCCCTGCAAAACAAACCAACAAACAAAAAACCCCAAAGAACAAAACTACCTACTTTTTATGATGGATTAAAAAAAAATGTATACCAAAGCCTGGAAAAGACCTATGTGCTAGACTGTAAATCAGGAAATCTCTAAAGACATAAATACTGCCTTCCCTTTATTTCTGTAATGTTCCTGGACACTGGTGACAACTTTCATGGTAAGGCACAGTGTGGGAGAATCATGTTACCTTCACTGAAGCTACCAGAGAGATTTCTAGAATCTACTCAGCCTCTCTACAACTAGTCATTCACATTAATTGTGATTATCACTAGTTATCTTCCTAAAATTTCCTCCCAAAATAGTGTGTTGAGGAAAAGTTAACTTTTCTTTTTTTTTCTTTTTGGCAGTCCTGGGCCTTGAACTCAGAGCTCTGTAATTTTGTACTTGTCATTTGAGACACGACTCAGCCTTTTTTAGTTTGTAGGACTCACATTTTTACATGGATCAGACTAGACCACAGTCTTTCTGATAAGCTGTTGGGGAACTAGGTTGGGGGAGGGTGGAATCTAACCTTTTACCTCAGGTAGCCTCTGTCATCTTCCCAATTTGCCTTCTGAATAGCTGGGATTTAGAGGCATGCACCAGCATACCTACTCAAGTTCCCCCCACCCCCCAGGCCTTCTACCAAGGCACCAAAAATACCTTTTGATATTGAATACCTTTGTAAAGAAATTATTTTTATACTTTCAAAAAAGGTAAAGGAACTGCCTTAGAAAAGCTAACAAAAAGACAAGCTCTGTATGAAGCCAATTCTAGGAATATTTTTAGTACTACCTGAAATTTCACATGCAGCCTCCAATAGACACATCTTCTTTCAGCTGGTGAGGCAATTATAATTTCTGTGTCAAAGAAACTCTGTGAAACTAAGCCAACATTTTCCAGCAATTTCAAACTTTGTGGCTTTAGGACTCTGGCTTATTAATTGCAAACTCATGGATTCAAAAGCACAGAACTTTCATTTTAGTTTCACGTTCACTCTTGCCAGAGAAAACTACTTGTTCAGGAAAGAGCATAAATATCTCCTGCTGAATTCCATGAATTTAATCATTTAGGTTCTTCTTCATAGGACTTATCTTTCTGGCAAATCCTACTATCCCTCAGAAAACTCCATAAATGCAGAAAGGCATAAATTTATTAAGCAAGGTACCATAAATTCTCAACTCCCAGCACACTAAGGAAATGTGGTATTGAAATAAGTCACTTTAAAAAGTCACCCAATGGGCTGGAAAGGTGGCTCAGTAGTAGTGCACGCCTTGCATGCATGAGGCCCTGGGTTTGATGCCTCAGAACCGCATAAGCAGAAAAAGCCAAAAACGGCACTGTGGCTGAAGTGGTAGAGTGCCAGCCTTGAGCTGAGGGACAGTGCTCAGGGCCCAGAGTTCAGGACTCATAACCAACCCAAAAATTAAAAAAAAGTCACCCAACATTACTCCCCAAGAAAAGGATTAAAAAGACACTCTACTGACAATGGCTGAAATGTTTTCTAAGCATTACATCATAAAATATGCCTAGTAGACCATAGTGAATACTCTTTAATCTTTCTGATAATTAAGAAGGCTCCTAAGGATTTACATTATGAACAGGCTTTGTCTTGGCACTATAGCAACATGCCAATTAATAGAGAATGCTACTCAAAAACAATGTCAGGTGTCAGGTAACTATTATTTTTACTGAAATACAATTCAGTTTAAATAGACATGGAGCCAGAAAGGCTTGGATTTGAATTTGGATCTTCCACTTCCTAGCTGTGGAGTCCTGGGTAAGTTAATAAAGCTTTCAAATATTGCTTTCTGTGGTGTGGAAACTTCTGTGCTGGAATGTTGGATTCTATAACTGCATCACTAGCTTACTTGAAGTATAAAGTTTGACCAGCTTTATTACCTTTTATGTAGAAAGAAACAATCACTAAAGAAAACCAGTAAAACAAGGTGACTAAAAGTGACAAGTTACTATCTGATGTAGCTTAAAACTGTAAGAAGGCTGACAGTTATTTAACGTGTTTGGGAAGCAGCAGGAAGTCAGAAGAAGATGGAGAAGAATTACAAAAAAAGCTGTCTCAGCTGGAGATAGAAAGGGTGCAGATGAGGGGTAGAGTGCATGCTTCGCATGCCTAAGGCCTTGGGCTTAGACAACAACACATGGTTGTCACAATATAGAAGTGATCTCCCTTTTTTCATTCCATGGAAAGAAAAATGGCCTCCCTAAAAAACAGAAGTCTAGGAGCACCCCCATGTGGTAGGTTGTCTGAATAACACCTCTGCAATACTGGAGGCTGTTACAGTAGATTCTGAATAATTTGAAAACAGGATTTTTTAATTTTTTAAAAAAGAAACTGTTTTATTCTAGTTAAAGCTCTTGATTTTTCTAGGAAATTATGGATGATCCACATTTAGGTCCCTAAATATATTTTTAATGTGTTATTTAGCTTTGTTCAGTGTTTTGAATGCTTAGTGGGAGGTAATTGAGATCACTGCAAACCAAGTCTAGATTTCAGCAAATAATTAGATTCTAAGAACTTAGGAGAACACAGTCAATTGTTACTGTGGCATGCCTAATGAGCTCATTAATAACTAGCAGAATTAGTAGGAAAAAAGTTTTGGTGATACTGAAGTTTGAACTCCAGATGTCACATTTGCAAAGCAAGTATTCTATCACTAAGCCATACCTCCAGCCAACAGTTCCAAATTTAAAATTTTCTCTTATTAGATTTAGCATATAAATAAGTAAAATAAAATAAAATTGCTTTAATGGAAGTTAACAAATACAGTAATTATACCAGAACATTATGCCATGAAACAATACTTGGTTGCTTTGTAATGTAGGTGCTTTACATAACTAACATGAGCACACACCTTGTCACCTTCCCTTGGGCACACTTCCCAGCCTTGGTACTGAAAGTACAGGAAATGGCCTCATCAATCAGACACCATCTATGGTCTATGTATGAAGCTATGTAAAAGCTCATTACATAATAAGTTAATGAGACATAACCGATACTCTACATATGAGAGGGAGAATACAGTTACAAACTATTATTAGGTATTCCAATTGTGCTGAAACATAGACCCCAGTTATTTACTAAAATTAAACTTTTTATTAGAGACCTGAATGGACTAAATGAAAAATAATACAACTAATCTAAGCTAGGATATAGAAGGATATAGAAGAGTTGCACATGGGAGAAAATATTTTTTTAAAAAAAAAACACCTTCAGTTGCTCTACCTAAAAGACTATTCCTACATTACTCCATATTCCCATATATAAAGCTGAGTCATACAGAACCACTTCCTCTGCTACTCAATGAGTGTTTGGCATGAACTACTGACAACTTTGAAAAATAAACATAAAGACTAAGATTGGCTTTCAAACCAATATAAACTGACTTTAAAGGATGCAGTTATAGGTCACATTGATCAGATTAGAAATATCTAAAAACAAAACATTTTAATACTTGTCAACTGTCAAGAGATTAAACAATGGCTCAACGTGCTTTAAGGAAGTCCTGCCCACTCTCTATCCCTCAAACTCCCAAACCAAGGGCAGTATTTGAGCTGGGGTAATAGGGCAATCAAGTCATATTTCAGTAATCATAGCAGAGCTAGTTTCTACTGGTTCTGACCTTTTTGGAAAGCAGTGGGTTGATAACATTAAGGATTTGGGCGAGGGGGGGCGGTGAGGGGGGGAGGGAAGGTCCAGATGCAGAAGCAGACCTGAGTCAAGACTGTGATGGCAGCTTTGAGGCCAGAGCAGTGACTAATAATCCTCAAGGCTGTGGACAGACAGAGCAGTGTGTACTGGTAACTACAATCCTGAAAGCCCTAGCTTCCTGCCCTAAAAAGGTCACACTCACAAGTTAATTCTCAACAGAGGCCTTGCCTGGTAGGCACATTCACTGTAAAACATGTAACAGACACTCAAAAGACAGATCAAGATTATAGGCCCGGGTGTGGAGGACAGGACTTCCTCAAGCTGTGGAAAAACCTGGGTGGCCCAGATTCCTTCCTTTCTTAAAATAAGATTGTTTTTCCTCCCACTCCAGAAAAGAGGTGGAAATGTTTACATGGATACATCTGATGTGTTGACACAGCTCTTAGCAATAAGTCCTTCAAAAGGGCGATCTTTTCCTTCAGATTCTGCAACAAAGTTCTGATTGTCACTGTAAGCTGCAAAAAGAAAAACACATCCTAAGTATTGGAGCCCAGATGTGGAGCTTCTACCACATTAAACCACTGAAGAGGCCTTACAGACTATGGCACGATCAAGGAAGGGCTGGAAGAGCACTAAGCCTTCCCACGACCAATACAGACTAGGCTCAGCACCTCCTGACCCAATCACCACCACACACTTGTACCAGCAGTTGGTCTATACCTGAATAGGGACACTAACTGCAGACTGTTGGTTTGCCTTTATGCCTGGTTCAATTCTCTGCCCTGTGCTTCTACTCACTGATGCTATTTATGTACCCTGGAGCCACACAGGGAACTGTGTTCCCATTTTATTAAACGGCAGCACCCCTCACTGTTCCCTCGACCATGCTTCAAATGACAGGGTGTCGAGTCCCATTACCATCTTGCCCGGTCTCCGAACACACTGCTATATTTATAACCCATTTGAACATTTTAGAGCAATGCATTCTTTTTATCCAAGAGGAATGGTAACCACACATAACTCTTTCTGGGACTGGATGAATTTTTTCCAATCATTCTCAATTTTCATTTGTGACTCTGAAGTGCTGAATTAAAGCATGGAAGAGAGTGGGGAGAGAGCCTCTCTAGAATATGGAAATAGGAAGAATAGAACTTCCCCAAATGAAAACATTTTGCTGGACACTGGTAATTCACACCTATAATTCCAATCACTCAGGAGGCTGAGATCTGAGGATTGCTGTTCAAAGCCATCCCAGGCAGAAAAGTCTGTGAGACTCATCTCCAATTAACCACCAAAACACCAGAAGTGAAAATGTGGCTCAAGTGGTAGAGTGCCAGGATAATGCCCAGGCCCTGATTTCAAGCCCCAGTATCGGTTCAAAAAATTTAAATACATACATACATACATATATATATATAACATACATATATGAAAACATTCCAACAAGGAAGAAATCAGAGATCTAGTAAAAAGGTAGAACAATCCATGTGATGACATGTTAACAGGAACTATTATGTAATGTAGGTGGAAGCAGGTGCCTCTCCTGTAGGAGATCACACATATTAAGCACCTGTCTAAGATGTCAGTAGCCAGAAAAAGACTGTGTTCTAGTATTTTTAGAAGCCAATGGAGAATCACCCACAGAGTTTATGGGAAAATCATCAAGGAAAGCAGGTAAACAGCAAACTAAGTGAACATAAAAGCACAACAAGCCAGGGGCTGCAGCTTTTACAGCTAGTCTACCTGGGATGCTGAAGCAGGAAGATCACCTGATCTCAGGAATTAAGAGGTAGGCCTATGCAATCTAGTGAAAGCTCATAAATTTAAAAAAAAAAAAAAACTACAACCTACATATATATCAGACCTATGAACAGCCTATATAAGACTAATGACTTCAATATCAATTTGTTAGCAAAGAAAAAAAAAAAGATCAAACCTGGGAATGGTAACTCACACTTATAATCATTGTCACTTATAATCATTGTTTCTAGGGAGGCAGAGATCAGGAGGGTGGCACAGTCTGAGGCCAGCCTGGGCAAAAAGTTCTCAAGACCCTACCAGTAAAAGCTGGGTATGATGGTACATGCTCGTTACTCCACTACATGGGGTGGATCGAGGTCCAACCTGAGCACTATCAAAAATGTATTAAAAAAAAATAATGAAAGTAGCCTGGCACTGGTATCTCACACCTGTAATCCTACCTACTCAAGAGGCTGAGATCTGAGGATCACAGTTTGAAACCAGCCTGAGGCAGGGAAGTGCATGAGATTCTTATCTCCAATTAACCACCAAAAAGCCACAGGGGTGCTGTGGCTCAAGGAGCAGAGTACCAGCTCAGGAACAGTGTCCAGGCCTCAAGTTCAAGCCCCAGGACTAGAACAAAAAGAACAAGAAGCAGAAGCAGAAGAAGAAGGAAGGAAGGAGGAGGAAGAAGGAAAGAAGGAAGGAAGGAAGGAAGGAAGGAAGGAAGGGAGGGAGGGAGGGAGGGAGGGAGGGAGGGAGGGAAGGAAGGAAGGAAGGAAGGAAGGAAGGAAGGAAGGAAGGAAGGAAGGAAGCAAGGCGCGAGCAGCAGCCACAGCCAGGCACTGGTGGCTCACACCTATAATACTAGCTACTCAGGAGGCTGAGAGCTAAGGATCACGGTTCAAAGCCAGCCCAGGCAGGAAAGTTCATGAGACTCTTATCTCCAATAAACCACCAGAAAACCGGAAGTGGCACTGTGGCTCAAGTGGTAGAGCACTAGCCTTGAGCTGAAGAGCTAAGGGACAGCACTCAGAGCCAGAGTTCAAGTCCCATGATGGAACAAAAAAAAAGAAGAAAAATAAAGAAACCAAAAGGACAAAAGGGCTAATGGTGTGGTTGAAGTGGTAAAGCACCTGCCTCACATAGTGCAAAGGCCTTGAGTCAAGAACTACAAAAAAATCAAATTCAATCATTAAATGAAATGTCACCTGATGAGAAAGAAAAAAATCCAAAAAGTAAACAAATGAAAAGGATTGTTTTTAGTTAATGCTATTAATATTTTTCTTTCTTTCTTTTTTTTTTTTGGTCTGTTGTGGGGCTTGAACTCTGGGCCTGGGTGCTGTTTCTCAGCTCTTCAGCTCAAAGTGAACATTCTACCACTTGAGTCATAACACCACTTCCGGTTTTCTCATAGTTAACTGGGGTAAGAGTCTCACAGACTTCCTGCCTGGGCTGGTTTTGAACTGTGATCCTCAGATCTCAGCCTACTGAGTAACTAGGATTACAGGCGTGAGTCACCCAGTACCCAGCAATATTTTATTTCTTAATATAAGAAAATTACCAGCCAGGTGCCAGTGTCTTATGCCTGTAATCCTAGCTATTTAGGAGGCTGAGATCTAAGGATTACAGTTCAAAACCAGCCCAGGCAGGAAAGTCCATAAGATTCTTATCTCCAATAAACCACTCAAAAGTGACACTGTGTAATAAGAGTGCTAGCCTTGAGCAAAGAGCTCAGAGACAGCACCCAGGCCTTGAGCTCAAACCCTATGACAGATTGACAGATAGATAGATAGATAGATAGACAGACAGACAGATAAGGAAGGAAGGAAGGAAGGAAGGAAGGAAGGAAGGAAGGAAGGAAGGAAGGAAGGAAGGAAGGAAGGAAGGAAGGAAGGAAGAGAAAATTCCCCTATAATAATAAAAAAATTCCATTATCACAATTAGAAGCTTCTGGAGTGCAGATAAAAAACCTCACTCATGTTTTAAGATAATATAACCCTGTTCATACTAGCCAAGATAACCAAAAAATAGAAGGGATCCCCACATCAATCCCACTTAAGGAACAAAAATGTAAAACATTTTTTTAAATAATTAAATGTTTAAAATGTCTAAAACCTTAGCAAAACAAATGTAGTTATTACATAAAAAGGACAGTCTCTAATCAGCAAATAGCACTTATTTTTAGTAAAAAAAAAATAATAAGAAAGCCTAAAAATATATCCCATCATGTTGATTAAAAATAAACATGATTAATATAGTAAAGAGAAAATTAAAAATAAAATAAAAAAACAAAAACTAAGAGGAAGTGGCACTGTGGCTCAAATGGTAGAGCCTTGAGCTTAATTGCTAAGGGACAATGCCCAGGCCCAGAGTTCAATCCTCACGATCAACAAAAAAAGGAAAACTAAGAATAGAGTACTGCCTAAAGTAAAATATCATTTAACTACGGAGAAGACCTTCTAGCCAACAGAATAAGACAAATTATAGAAATATGTAAGGACTAGAAAGGGAAGAACCATTATTTGCAGATTGAAAATAATTTACTTGGGAAAGTTATTAAAATCAGCTGGAAGAATACTTGAACTCAAGGGTACAGAACTCAAGGGAAAAACAGTGAAAAAGTGCAGCAGTGGAGCTTACTTGGCACTGATAAAAGTAAACTATACAACTGCTGGATGGAGACAGGAAGAAGGGACAGGGAGAGAGTGAGGGAAGAAAAGACACATGTGTTCGTTACCTGACTCATGTTAATTGTAATCCCTCCATACATAAAATAACAAAGTTCAAAAAAAAAAAAGTGAAGGTATGGACAGTACCCAGTCCCTGAGTTCAAGCCCTAGTACCAGCAAAAAAAAAAAAATTAGGTTTCTGAATCTCATCCATACCTACTGATCAAAATCCTGAAACTAGAATCTTAGTCATCTGTATTACAAAAGGTTCCTGGTTTTTATTCACTTCTGGGTTATAGATTACAATAGAAAAGTTAAAATTGGGTAGCAGAACTTGAGCTCCAGGGCTGGGAAAGTGGCTCAGCGGCAGAGCGCTTGCCTTGCATGCATGAGGCCCTGGGCTCCATTCCTCCGCACCACATAAGCAAAAAGAGAAAAGCCGGAAGTGGCACTGTGGCTCAAGTGGTAGAGCGCTAGCCTTGAGCTGGAGAGCTGAGGGACAGTGCCCAGGCCCAGAGTTCAGGCCCCATGACTGGACCCAAAAAAAAAAAAAGAACTTGCACTCCAAACTTTTATCTTCCTTACTCAATTTTAGAGGATACTTTTCTTGAATCTTTTTTCACTGCTTATCCCATTTCTACAAGTTAGGCAATCTGCCACAATTTTGCTTCAATTCCAATCAAGTTCTAAATGAAAATGGTTGTGAAGACTGTTTTCTTGTGTATCTAATTTTAAAAAATACTTGAGTAAAAGAATTTAGTACAGGGGCTGGGAAGGTGGCTCAGTGGTAGAGCGCTTGCCTTGCATGCTTGAGGCCCTGTGTTCAATTCCTCAGCACCACATAAGCAAAAAGAAAAAAGCCAGAAGTGGCGCTGTGGCTCAAGTGGTAGAGCGCTAGCCTTGAGCTGAAGAGCTGAGGGACAGCATCCAGGCCCAGAGTTCAGACCCACGACTGGACCAAAAAAAAAAAAAAAAGAATTTAGTACAGTGACCAATCACAAAACAAAAAGATATCAAGAACATCCCTTAAGAGTTTGAATTTTTTGTGTGTGTGGGACTGGGGTTTTGAACTTAGTGCCTCAGCAAGTGCTCCACCACTTGAGCCATACCTCCAGCCTGTTTCGCAGGTTATTTTTTTGACAGAGTGTTGCACTTTTGTCCAGGCAGGCTATAGACTATACTCATACCTATATCTCCTGCACAGTTGAGAATACAGCATCACATGCCCTGCCCTCAAAGGAATTTTTAAAATTATTTTTAAGATTGTTGTATGCATGACAGTAATAAGGCTTTAACTCAGGCCTTAGCTTTTTTTAGCTCAAGGCTACTGTTCTACCATTCGAGCCACACCTCCACTTCTGGTATTTTGTTAAATGGAGATAAGAGTCTCTTGGACTTTCCTGTCAAAGATGACTTCAAACTTTAACAGTCAGATCTCAGCCTCGCGAGTAGTTAGGATTATAGGCAAGAGCCACTGGAATCCAGCTAAAGTTTATTAATAAAACTTTTTTAAAAAACATGGTGCCAGTGTTTGCTTCGGCAACGCATATACTAAAATTGGAACGATACAGAGAAGATTAGCATGGCCCCTGCGCAAGGATGACACGCAAATTCGTGAAGCGTTCCATATTTTTGGAAGTGGCGCTATGGCTCAAGCGGTAGGGCACTTGCCTTGAGCTGAAGAGCGCAGGGACAGTGCCCAAGCCCAGAGTTCAAGCCCCATGACGACAAAAAAAAAAATGGTGCCAGCCGGGTACCGGTGGCTCACACCTATAATTCTAGCTACTCAGGAGGCTGAGATCTGAGGATCACAGTTCAAAGCCAGACCAGGAAGGAAAGTCCATGAGACTCTTATCTCCAATAAACCACTAGAAAACTGGAAGTGGCACTGTGGCTCAAACAGTAGAGCTCTCACCTTGAGCTGAAGAACGGAGGGACAGCACCCAAGCCCAGAGTTCAAGCCTCACGACAAAAAAAATAAAAAAATAAAAACATGGTGCCTGAGTTGGGAATGTGGTTTAATGGTAGAGTGCTTGCTTAACATGCATGAAGTCCTGGGTTCAATTCCTTAATACCAAATAAACAGAAAAAGCCAAAAGTAGCGCTGTGGCTCAAGTAGTAGTAGAGTGCTATCCTTGAGCAAAAGAAGCTAAGGGACAGTGCCCAGGATCTGAGTTCAAGCCCCAGTACTGGCCAAAAAAAAACAAAAACAAAAACACCATGATTCCTGGCACCTAACTATGCAATAAATATGGCTGAAGCAATAAAAAGAAATTTGCCATTATGAAAGCGTTCGCATTTCCCCCAACTTAAATGTGTAAATATACTATATATCAATTCAAATCCTCCTTGGAATTCTGGGTTTTTGAGGGGCAGTACTGGGGCTTGAACTCAGGTTAGTTGAGAAAAAAAAGCTAAAGGACAGCACCTAGGCCCTGAGTTCAAGCCCCCTAATCCCCCCAGGTTCTCCCCCCCAACACACACCCACACAGAAAGCCTTGTTGGACTGTAGCTTTATAAACATCTAGTGAATAAGGATACCCCTACCTTGGGAGACATTGTAATTTAGCAACAGGGGATAAAACAACATCAAATATCTGCAATGTTTCAAAATAAACGGCAAAGATTTTGGTACATTGCTCAGGTTTCCCCACCTTGAAGTTGTCATCAATCATTGTAAGCACTATTACCTTGGGAACCTTTTCACCTCTTCTTTCATACTGATTTCGTTGTTGAATTTTCTCAGCAATTTCTTGGGCGATTTGACAAGTGGCATCATATGTGGAGAACCTGCACCAGAGTCATGCAGAGAGAAAATGTTTGAGATTCTTTAAAAGAATTTCTGAATGGCCCAAGTTTTTAATTCTAGTGACAAGTTCAAAAAGGCAGGGAGAAAAATAAAGAGAAGCATAATCACACTACACATTCCTGTGTGACAGGCACAATTCAGAAAACATAATTTCTGACAAGTCACTTAATCCACATGACAATGCCTTAAGTTGGACATCACTACCAACTCTATTTAGACACAAGCAAACCTGGCACACTTAGGCAGCACTTGCCTAAGAAACCAAATCGGTTGCCCCACAGCTTGGGTTCTAAACCACCTATGCCTGACAAAGCACTTGTTCCTTTGCAAAACCCTCAGAACCACCCCCCATCCCCAGAGGCCAGAACTTTATTAAGCACTATCCAAATATGCACAAACAAGATTCTGCAAAGTCTGTGCCTAAGTTAAGGATTTCTGGGGTTAAGAGATGGCAAAAATTAACATTGACCAAAGAACTTAGAGGAAGTGGGCCAGAGGGGGCCAATCTTGGACTGAGCACCAGGTTACAGCAGAAGGCTCAGAAAATACTGGAGAACAAGAAGAAAGGAGAACAACCTGTGTGGCCCACTGTCCTAACAAGAAACCCTGGTAGGAGAGGGCAGCTCATACAGGAGAGGTAAGTAGAAGTTACTCTTTCCACAAAGCCTGTAACAACAGTCTCAGGAAGTTAAGACTTATGGGAGAATTTGAGATCCATCTGTTTGTTGGGGTTTTTGTTGTTTGCTGAAGAGGACACTTGCAACACAGAAAGACCTTGAAGAGGTCATGTGAAATATTGAAGGTCACACGGCTGGGACAAACTCCTGTCTTGCCCCAATCCATTTCTCATTTTAGATCTAAAACAAAAGACAAAAAACTGGCTCACTGGGCACCAGTGAGTGTAATCCTAGCTACTCAGAAGGCTGTGATATGAGGATTATAGTTTGAAGCCAGCCTGGGTAGGAAGATTTCTTATCTTCAACTAACAGGTCTAAAAAGGCTTCCCCACACACATACAAAAAAAGCCAGAAGTGGAGCTGTGACTAAAGTGGTAGAGTGTTAGCCTTGAACAGAAAAGCTCAGGGATAACACCCAAGCCCTAAGTTCAAGCCCCAGGTCATTCTCACATACACATACACATATACACACACACAACTCTCTGGCCAGCCCCAAGTACACAAAGTAAATTAATAAGAGGTTTAACCTGGTCAGGGTTTATGCTACCTGCAATCTATAACAAAATTTGGGAATCACTGCCTTGAGATTACAGGCAATGTTATCAAGGTATCTAATATACAAGTGTCTAAAGTACTGGTTTTAGGAAAAACAAATATAAATAGCAATGGGAGAAATCAACAGAGTAGAAGCAGACAGCCAACAGATTTTTCTCAGGCTACTTAATTCCACACACACTCACCAATACTTACCATCTGCGAGGTATTAAACTAAAAGTCCTGGCCTAAAAAGTAGAAATAGCAAAAAAGAAATGCCAGAGATGTAATATTCCAAAAAACAATAGAAATTAAGAAATAATTTGGAATAAGGGGTAAAGAAAAAGCAATTGATTCATTTTTAGACCCAAGTGATTAAGACAATGGTGATGCCTCACATGCACAGACAGAGGAACTAGAAAAGAGACAAGTTTCCAGAACATGTGCTGGGGCTTTGTTCTCCTAGAAAAACATTGAATGCACAGTTAATATATGTGTAATATTTACTCATAAGAAAAATGTACCTGGAAAAGTGGGGTGGAAGGCAAGAGGCAAAATAAGGGCAGAATTTCAATAATTACAGAAACTGGGTGATGAGTATAAAAGGCTCATTTTAGTATTCTACTTCATAGATCTTTCACCTATGATTTAAAAAATTAAACAGACCACTGGCAGTGTGGCTCAAGTGATAGAGCACATACCTAACATGAGGTTTTGAGTTCAAACTCTAGTACAGCCAATAAACAAAAAAGAAAAAAATGCTACCAACATATTTTTTAAGTCCAACCAGAATATAAAACTATTGAGGTTTAGCACATTATTTTCTGGAAATATCATAACATCAACAAATAAAGGTACTCCCCAAACAAAGCTAACTTTATCCAAGAGCCAAGTTCACAGATGGGTACACAGCTGCTACTTCTATTAATCAGTAGGCTTACCAATTGCATTGAAAGAGCAGCAACTGCTCCACTCCATTTGTAAATGTTAGGATCCAAAGCAAGGAGGCATCATCAATCTCATTTTCAGCAGCAAAAAGTCAAAGCTATAAGAAACTGTTTCTTATGCTCTTTAAGTCTCAGTCTACATTCCTTTTTGTGGCAATGTCTCATGGAAGTATCAACTCAAAAGGCATGATACTAACAGGAAACCAAGTAAGCAAGAAAGCTTGGTGGGCATTTCATCCAGGTTTTATCCCTAATGAATTGCTGCTCTTTGTTCTGATTGGCCAGAACTTAGATTCACACTCTTGCATGGTTGGCTATGGTCAGAACTTAGATTCACAATCTTGTGTAATTGGCTGGCTTGAAAGGGGTTAAGAGTTTATATGAGCAATCAACTAAAACTGGGACACATGGCCAAAATTTGTCAGAAAAACAATTCGTATTCAACTGGTGCTCTATCACCTGAGCCACACCTTCAGCACCTTGAAAAATTATTCTAACACAATGTGGCTTAACTAAAATAGCTTCTTGTAAGATAGCAGTGCTTAAGCAACCATTTTGACAGTAAAAATTCCACCTTCCTAACCCACTATGTTGCTTTTTAACTGTCACATAGAAAGCACTTAGTCCAACAATTGAGAGTAACAGAAAAAGGTGCTTTTTCAATGTTAGCGGTGGAAAAGAGCTTTATGTTCTACTTTATGGGTAAATTGAGGGAGTTAGCTTCCAGGAAGTGGATAGCAACGAAACAAACTATCAAAGGCCTTAAAAAAAAAAAATCATCATAGGGCTGGGAAGTTGGCTCAGTGGTAAAGTGCTTGCCTCACATGCACGAGGCCCTAGGATCAATTCCTCAGCATTAGATAAGCAGAAAAAAGCCAGAAGCGGTGCTGTGGCTCAAGTGGTAGGGCGCAAGCCTTGAGCTGAAGAGCTGAGGGACAGTGCCCAGGCCCAGAGTTCAGGCCCCACGACCGACAAAAAAAAAAAATCATCATACCAGCCAGGTGTCAGTGGCTCACACCTGTAATCCTGGAGTGGAGCTATAGATCAAATGGCAGAGCACTAGCCTTGAGAAAAAAAAAAAAAAAGCTCAGAGGCAGTGCCTAGGCCCTGAGCTTAAACCCTAGGGCACACATACACAGTTATTTACAAATAATAAAAATGCTCCTGATTTTTCTTCTCCGCTGATACTCAAAAGATTGACTCATCTATCACAGTGTACACAAATGCCAAAACCAGGGGTGGAAGGAGGAGCACGAAGTTCGAGCTACAGATTGCTTAGATCCCAGAGTAACTCTTCACTTGGCTCTGAAGATCCACTCTTCCTCACACCCGGGTTGTCTGCAACTTTAAACAATGATAAACTGCATTAGGAAAAACAACCACCACCACAACCACCTAAGGCAGAAACTCCAAGGAGAACTTTCTGGAGAGAGGACACGGTTCTCGACGATTACACAAGGGAGTCAAGTCTGTTAGGTCGGGCAGTGTGTTCCTTGGAGGGTCGGGAACCTGAATCCAAGTACCCTCAGGAGCGGCTGTTGTTTGCTCCCCGCAGAGGCGGCGATCTTCGCGAGACAGACCCGACGCGGGACAGGGTGAAACCCGCTGGCGGCCAAGTCCCCTCATCTCCCCTCCCGGGGTCTCCAAGCGTGCTCACAGGCCCACGGCATCGACGTCCGGCTACGGACCCTGAGCCGTTCACCTCGAGCTCGGCCGGAGTCCCCAGCGGCCCGTTCCCGCCGGCCCCACACGTCGAGGGGGTCGGGGAAACGCCCCCCGGCCCCGACCCCCGAGGCACACACGCCCGGCGGCGCTCCGCTTCCAGTCAGGGCGGCCGGACGCGGCGGGGTCCTCCGCCCCCAGAAGGTCCCTCCGCCCCTCTCCACGCCTCCAGACGCTCAGCGCTTCTACCGCTGCCCGTCCTAGACCGTCAGACCCTCCCGCGTTCGGCCCTCAGCACGCCGCCGCCCTCGCCCGCAGCTCACCAGGGGTCCGGGGCCATCCTGCAGCCTCCGTCCGCCCGCCCGCTGCCCGGACACTTCCTGCTCGCAGCAGCTGACTACGGCGGCCCGCGGGGCTCAATCCCCGCCGTTCGCGCCTCTGCGCAAGCCTGAGTCCGGCATTGGTATGTGTGAGTCTGGCATTGGTATGTGTACCGTGACCTGTGCATTAGGGCCGGGGAACCGACAAATCATAAAATAATCAAAAAGAGCTCTCCTCTAGAGTACAGTAGGTTGAAACAATCCATTTCCAAGACACGAATTTGCTGGGCTCGTGGAAAGCAAAATGGTTGAACAGGATCTAAGCTCCAAAACCTCTTTGCTGGGCACGCTTCAAAACTTCTCTATTTCAGCTTCTTATATTTTACTCTGCTTCCTAAAACAACGCTGGACCGTGGCGATAGTTGCACATAGTATAAACTTACGGAAACTTTAAATGAATTTAACAAGATGTAAGTTATATCTCAATAAAGCTAAGAAAAACTTTTTAAATTGTTTTATTCGTCTTCAATCAATTCCAGTATATACTATTTCATACAGATGTCTACCCAACAGAAGCAATCTCTTTGTTTTATTTTTTAAAATCTCATTAGTTGCTTAATTATATAGTTTAAAACGCCAGAATTTACACTGAGGAGAGGCAAACATGTTCTGTGCATATAATGTCCGACCCCTCAAACATGCTTATAGAATAATAGAAATCAAGGAGACACACACACTTTGAAACAGAGAAGGGAAAGGAGAAAAGAAGAAAGAGAAAAGAGAAAGAAAAAGGGAAAGACAGAGCGAGAGAAAGAAAGAAAAACACAGCACCTGCCTTGGCAGGCGAGAACCTGGCACGCATGCGCGAGCGCCAGTTGCCATAACGACCCGGAGACGCTGCCCTGGCTGCCTGAAAGAGAAAGACTTGAGTCTCACCAAAATGGATAATCAAACTTCCCCTGAGACCGATTTCGCTGAGCTGGAACTTGATGCTGTGATCGGATTCAATGGTGAGACCTCACGTGCCCAAAGGGCGGGGTGATTTAGGACTCCCATGGACCGGTTGTACCTACTGGGACCAGTGATACACAACCGGATGGTCCCTGAAAGTCACTGCGGGACGGAGGCAGAGCCTTGAGCAGGGGCGAACCCTGAGGCAGCAGAAGCCTCCCTGCCTTGGGGTCTTGTAGAGTCTTCCGTTCCAATGAGCAAGAGTGGCTGTGACCCTTCTCCCTTAGACAACCCTCCTTAGCTCTGAGCCTCACACTGCCCTGGAGTTCCTCAGCCTGGGTAATCCCCAGATGCTGTCTGTGTTGGCCACCCTGGGCAAAATTTCCCTCCATAAATTTTTATTAGTCTTTTGTACAATTAAGAACTATATAATCCTAAAGAAAAACGAGATAGATCTAAGTGGAACAACAGGAAAGGATGCTTAAACGTAAGTGTAAAATACAATGTCAAACTGGGTATGGTTTGTCTATAAAGTGTGAGGGGGCGGAGAGGGAGAGACTGAGCAACAGTGAGAACACATGGAGATCAATGGATATTTACTGCCTGTCTGAATACCCTTCTGTTTGAGTACACAACACCGGTTAAGAGCCAGTTCTGTGGTCCCAGTTTGGGAAAAATGGAACCTAATACGCTCAGGTAGAGGGTCTCGCTCAGAACTTCTCTGTGCAGGGAGGGGTGCAGAGGTGCACAGAACCCTGGAAATCAAATGCTGCCTTGCCAGCCAAACAAGAAGAGATCCTTAAGCTGGTGGCTCACACCTAGCTACTCAGGAGGTTGAGATCTGGGGATCATGGAAGCCAGTGGGGGTAAGAAAGTCCGTGAGACTCCTATCTCCAATTAATCACAGCTCAAGTGGTAGAGTGCTAGCCTTGAGCAAAAAGGGTGAGATGGGGCTAGGAAGGTGGCTCAGTGGTAGAGCACTTGTCTTGCATGCATGAGGCCCTGGGTTCGATTCCTCAGCACCACATAAGCAGAAAAAAAAAGCCGGAAGTGGTGCTGTGGCTCAAGTGATAGAGCGCTAGCCTTGAGCTGAAGAGCTGAGGGACAGCGCCCAGGCCCAGAGTTCAGGCCCCAGGACTGGACCCCCCAAAAAAAAAAAAAAAGGTGAGATCCCAGGCCCAGAGTTCACAGGTCAAGCCCCAGGACTGGCAAAAGAAAGAAAAAAGAAAAGAGAGGAAAAGAGAAAAGGAGAGGAGAGAGAAAGAAGAGAGAGAGAGAGAGAGAAGGTAGGAAGGAAGAAAGGAAAGAAGGAAGGAAGGAGGGAGGGAGGGAAGGAAGAGAGGAAAAAAGAGAAAGAAAGGGAGAAAGAGAAAGAAAGAAGAGAGAAAAAAAGCAAGACAAAGACGAAGAAAAAAAGTTTCTTAGTTCAGTTTATTAAGCCCACCCACATTTCAAATATGCTTTTCTGAACTTCTATGAGCTACCTGTATTCCTTCCATGACATAACTTGTTTTCTTCTTCATCTTTCTCTTCTCCTCTCCTCTTCCTCCTTCATTCTTCTTATTTTTTCTTTTCTTCCTTCCTTCCTCTTTCTTTCTTTCTTTTTTCTTTTCTTTCTTTTTCTTTTTCTTTTTCCTTTTGTCTACCAGAGTTGACTTTTCTTTTTTGTAATTAACAATTCTAACTATTAAATACAAAGACTATAACTCTGAAGACATGTACACCTGCATGCTGACGTATACATTGGGCAGGTTATAGAACTTGGAGTGGGCTAGTGGCTCCCAGGGAACCCAGGCACTTCTGTGTATATGAAACATACAGTATGTACTTACATATTCAAGCTATCATTAGTATAGAACACTGTCTTCCAAAGCTATTCACTCTCCCAGCAAGCAGTTCCTTCATTCAATATTATCACAAATGTCTAATTTTAGCCATTATGATGGGGATGAGATTCTAGGAAAAACAAAACATGTATCTCACTCATTACTTGTCAAGAACATCATGTGTTAACTGGGTTTCCAATTTTCTTCATCATAAATTGCCCATTTCTATTCCTTTGCCCATTTTTTTCCTGTTAGTAAGTTCATGTTGTTGGTTTTTTTGTTTGTTTGTTTGTTGTCGGTTGTGGGGCTTGAACTCTGGGCCTGAGTGCCATCCCTCAGCTCTTCAGCTCAAGGCTAGCACTCTACCACTTGAGCCACAGTGCCACTTCTGGTTTTCTGGTGGTTTGTTGGAGATAAGAGTTTCATGGCCTTTCCTGCCTGGGCTGGCTTTGAACCTCGATCCTCAGATCTCAGCCTCCTGAGTAGCTAGGATTACAGGCATGAACCACTAGCACCCGGCTTTTTGTTGGTTTTTTAAATTGCTCTGTGGAAGGTCTTTGTATATTAAGTGTACTCTTTTTTTTTCCCAGTCCTGGGCCTTGAATTCTGGTCCTGGGCACTGTCCCTAAGCTCCTTTTGCTCAAAGCTAGCACTCTACTAGAGCTATAGCACTACTTCTGGCTTTTTTCTGTGATTAATAGGAAATAAGAGTCTCATGGACTTTCCTGTTCAAGGTGGCTTCCAAACTTGATCCTCAGATCTCAGACTCCTGAGTAGCTAGGATTCCAGGCATAAGCCACCAGTGCCTGGCTAAATGGTACTCTTTTGTGTTATGGCTATTACAGATAGCTTTTTCTGGGTTGTTTTTCTTTTCACTTTGTCTTCTGTAATTAAATTTTAATTTGTGTTTGTGTGTGTGTGTGTGTGTGTGTGTGTGTGTGTGTGTGTGTGTGTTGTGTGCCAGTAGTAGGTCTTGAACTCAGGGCCTGGGCACTGTCCCTTAGCTGAAGGCTTGTTCTCTACCACATAAGCCACAGCTCCACTTCTGGCTTTATTGTTGTTGTTGTTGTTAATTGGAGATAAGAGTCTTATGGACTTTCCTGGCTTTGCTGGCTTCAAACTTCAATCCTGAGGTCTCATCCTCTTGAGTAGGTAAGATTACAAGCAGCTGGCTTTTTATTAAAATTTAATAGAGGTTTTGTACATGGTTGTGAAAAAAAAGTCATTTCCTATATCTGTGTAAATAGTTAAGTCTTGAGGGTTTTTTTTTTCACATTTAGGCCTTTTAAACACTTGGAACATTCTTTGTGTGTGATGTGAAATAGAGACCTAATTTTATTTTTTCCATATGGATAACCATATGAATTTTTATAAGGGTCTTGCAACTAAGAAAATATATATTTAGTAAGAGTAGGATTTTCTAAAAGCAATATACTTTATTCTTGTAAGAAGTTACTTCATAAAAAAGGAATGCCCACAATTTCAATGAAAGGAAGCATTTCTTCAATAACTGCGTTCAGCTATATGAACAAAAGAATGTGTTTAGATATGGAAATGTCCAAGACATTTCCAGAGGAAGTAAAATATGGAAGAAAAAGTCACTTAATGGCTGGAAGCATGGCTTAGTGGTAGAATGTTTGTCTAGCATGCATGAACCCTGGGTTCGATTCCTCAATGCCACATAAACAGAAAAAGCCAGAAGTGGCACTATGGTTCAAGTGTTGAAGTGCTAGTCTTGAGTAAAAGAAGCTCAGGGACAGTGCCCAGGCCCTGAGTTCAAGCCCCAGGGCTGGCAAAATAAAAATTCAGTTAAGTACCAGAGTACTGGTGGACATAATGTGAAGTGAAATACACAAACAGGCACACGCACACCCATGCAACAAAGGCATGTGTTCTAATATGTGGAAGAGAAAAGTAAATTTTTTGGGATCAACTTTTGATCTTTCTTCTCCACACCCTCTTGAAGGGTATGGAGAAGAAAAGAATGGGGAGTGATTAACAGATACAGGAATGCGCCAAAATAGGAGGAGTAACTTTTAATGCTCTGCAGTATAGGGGACTAGAGATGGTTGACAACAACGCTGAATTTTATTTCACTTGTACTGGAGTTTGAACTCAGGGCATTGTGCTTGCTAGGTAAGCACTCTGCTACTTGAACTATGTCCCCAGACCTTTTCTGCTTTGGTTATTTTTGAAACAGTCTCTCCCTTTTTCCTTGGGGCAACTTGGACTACTATCTTCCTATTTATGCTTCCCACCATAGTTGAGATAACAGGTACAAGCTACTACACCCAGATGTTTCCATTCAGGTGGTGGACTGGCCTCTAACTGTGATTCTTCTGAGATCTACCTCCTAAGTAGCTAGGATTACAGGTATCAGTCACTATGTCAGGCTTTTGAATGTAGAAAGAAATGATACATGTCTAATGTTACACTAATCTGATCACTATATGTTGCATATATGTATCAAAATGTCATGCTGTACTGTGACATAGAGAAGGAAATAGCAACACACATTTAAAATACCCAGTTATAATATAATAAGAAATGTGTAAGAATTTCATGAAGAAAAGTTGGATATACTGCTATGGGGGGGGGGGGTCATAAAAGAGGACTTCATTGACAAGCATTCCTTATTTTCAGAATGGAGGCATAATATATTATTATGAAGTTATTGCTCCTGAAATTATATTGTATGATTAACACCATGTCACTAAAAATACAATCATGACTGCTTAAAGGAGTCAATCTGGCTTTAAAGTTTATATTGCAGATTAAACATGAGGAGTAACCACAATTTTTCTAATCTAAGATGATATTAACTATAGATAATAGTTAATAGTGATTTCATGTTCAAACATATCACAAAGTTTTGCCATAGGGGTGATTCTTGGCACAAATTTGGAGGATGGACACAAGGAAAGAGATCCCACTGTGAATGCTTCTAAGCTCTTCCAGGTCACCTAGTGGTCACTTAAAACTGAAACAATTAAAAATTCCCATCCAAAATGAGCACAGTGTCTCACGCCTATAATCCTAGCTCTCAGGAGGCTCAAATCAGGAAGATCATAGCCCAAACCAACCCAGGCAAAAAAAGTTCACAAGACCCTCTCTCAACCAATAGCTGGACATGTTGGTATGAGTCTATCATCCCAAGTATGCAGGAGGCTGAGCTCAGGAGGACTAGAGTTCCAGGCCAGCCCAGGCAATGAAAATTTGTGAAGCTCTATGTC